CCGGCCATACGTCTATGCTCCACGTGGTGGGACTCGAGCGTAAATATAACCGCATATTGTCCGGCTAACATTGGATTAATCATATCTTAATGCAGGGCTTCTTTAGCGACACCAGCGTGGAGGAGGTTCTTATGGGTCTATCATCGCAAATATCAGAGCGCGAGGATCCGGTTTTATGCTCTGATGTGCGCGACAAGCTTTTTGGACCCATGGAGTTTACGCGCCGGGATCTGGGCGCTCTCAACATAATGCGTGGACGCGATAACGGCTTACCCGATTATAATACAGCCAGAGAAGCATATGGCCTGCAGAGGCACAAAACATGGATGGACATCAATCCGCGGCTGTTTGAAGCGCAGCCCGAGCTTTTGGAGTAAGTTCATGAACAAAAGGATACGAATATCCTTCAACATTTGGCCCAATTATTGAGTATGTGCGATTTGATTCGATTTAATTTGAATTACTATTCTTCACGTAGGAGAAAATTTTTAACTCTGATCTAAACTAATTAGATTTAATAGAATGACTGAGCCGGGCAATGCCGGTTAACAAATGGTTAGAATATGGATGTACAATTGGGTATGAAGAAATACTGATAAAAAAAATATTTATGCATAATTGTGCATGTCGGATATAGTAAGCACAGAGCGACTCTATCTGCAGAGTAGACATTGCGTTTCTTGAGAGATTCTGATGGGGAGAGAGGAACGTGGGAGATAATTAATTTGCTCTCTATGTTGGTGCCTTTCTTCTGTTATCTGATTTGTGTATCCAGCCGAGAGCAGAGAGCGCTCACGCAAGGAGCGAACATATTGAATGGTGCATGTGTATTGGTGCGAATGTCGGCGTAGCGTAGGCGCGAGCTTAGTGCACAGATTTATTCTGAGGGCGTCTGCCCTGCTGATCGGACGTGTGCTGCACGTGTGTAAAATTAAATGTCTCTGCAAAATTATAAAGATTGCTGGATGTAATGCCAATTCTTATAATCAATATTTCCGTTTACAGTATGCTCAAGGAGGCCTACAATAACCAGCTGGACGATGTGGATGTCTACGTGGGCGGCATGCTAGAGTCCTATGGCCAGCCAGGCGAGCTCTTTAGCAATGTGATCAAGGAGCAGTTTCAACGTTTGCGGGATGCGGATCGTTTTTGGTTTGAGAACGAGCGCAATGGCATCTTTACCGCTGAGGAAATTGCCGAGCTGCGGAAGATCACGCTGTGGGATATAATAGTGAATAGCACAGATATCGATGAGGATGAGATACAGCGTGACGTGTTCATGTGGCGCACGGGCGATCCCTGTCCGCAGCCGATGCAGCTGAATGCCACAGAGCTGGAGCCATGCAACTATTTGGAAGGCTACGATTACTTCTCTGGCTCCGAGCTAATGTTCATCTATGTGTGCGTCTTCCTTGGCTTTGTGCCCATACTCTGCGCCGCCGCTGGCTACTGTGTGGTGAAGCTGCAGAACAGCAAACGGCGTAGGCTCAAAATACGGCAGGAGGCGCTGCGTGCACCACAGCAGAAGGGCTCCGTGGATAAGATGTTGGCGCGCGAATGGTTGCATGCGAACCACAAGCGTCTGGTCACTGTCAAATTTGGGCCCGAGGCGGCCATCTATACGGTGGATCGCAAAGGCGAAAAGCTGCGCACATTCGGTCTGCAGCACGTGGACGTGGTCAGCGTGGAGGAGTCAGCCACCAATCATATAAAAAAGAAGCCCTACATTCTGATGCGCGTGCCCAGCGATCACGATCTGGTGCTGGAGCTTGAATCGTATGGAGCGCGACGCAAGTTTGTCAAGAAGCTGGAGGATTTCCTGTTGCTGCACAAAAAGGAGATGACCCTGATGGAGGTGAATCGCGAAATTATGCTGGCCAGGGCAGAGACCCGAGAGCGTCGCCAGAAGCGTCTCGAGTACTTCTTTCGTGAGGCATATGCCCTGACATTTGGCCTGCGGCCGGGCGAGCGGCGGCGTCGCTCCGATGCATCCAGCGATGGCGAAGTGATGACCGTAATGCGCACCAGCCTGTCCAAGGCGGAATTTGCGGCCGCTCTAGGCATGAAGCCCAACGATATGTTTGTGCGAAAAATGTTCAATATTGTCGATAAGGATCAGGATGGACGCATCAGTTTTCAGGAGTTCCTTGAAACCGTGGTGCTCTTCTCGCGCGGCAAAACGGACGACAAGCTGCGCATCATATTTGATATGTGCGACAATGATCGGAACGGGGTCATCGACAAGGGTGAACTAAGCGAAATGATGCGCTCGCTGGTGGAGATTGCGCGGACAACCAGCTTGGGCGACGACCAGGTCACCGAGCTGATTGATGGCATGTTCCAGGATGTGGGACTCGAGCACAAGAATCATCTAACCTATCAAGATTTTAAGCTCATGATGAAGGAATATAAGGGCGATTTTGTCGCCATTGGCCTGGATTGCAAGGGTGCCAAGCAAAATTTCCTGGATACATCCACAAATGTGGCACGCATGACCTCGTTCAATATTGAGCCCATGCAGGATAAGCCACGCCATTGGCTGCTCGCCAAATGGGATGCCTACATTACCTTCCTCGAGGAGAATCGTCAAAATATCTTTTATCTTTTTCTATTCTATGTGGTAACCATTGTTCTGTTCGTCGAGCGCTTCATACACTATTCCTTTATGGCCGAGCACACGGATCTGCGTCATATTATGGGCGTGGGCATTGCCATCACACGAGGATCGGCGGCATCTTTGTCCTTTTGCTACTCGTTGCTGCTGCTGACCATGTCCAGGTGAGAATTATCTCTTAAGACTTTACGCACGCAACTAACCATTCCCACTTGCTCGTAGAAATCTCATCACTAAGCTTAAGGAGTTCCCCATACAGCAGTATATACCCCTGGACTCGCACATACAGTTCCATAAGATTGCCGCCTGCACGGCGCTGTTCTTCTCGGTGCTACACACCGTGGGGCATATTGTCAACTTTTATCATGTGTCCACACAGTCGCACGAGAATCTGCGCTGTCTGACGCGTGAGGTTCACTTTGCCTCCGACTACAAGCCGGATATTACGTTCTGGCTCTTCCAAACGGTCACCGGAACCACGGGCGTTCTGCTATTTATCATAATGTGCGTTATATTTGTATTTGCACATCCGACCATACGCAAGAGGGCCTACAATTTCTTCTGGAACATGCACACTCTCTATATTGGCCTATATATGTTGAGCTTGGTTCATGGTCTGGCGCGTCTAACGGGGCCGCCACGTTTCTGGATGTTCTTTTTGGGACCCGGCATCATCTACACACTGGACAAGATTGTCTCGCTGCGCACCAAGTATATGGCACTTGATGTGATCGATACTGATTTACTGCCCTCGGATGTTATCAAAATCAAATTCTATAGGCCGCCAAATCTAAAATATTTGTCCGGCCAATGGGTGCGTTTGTCCTGCACCGCCTTCAGGCCGCAAGAGATGCATAGCTTTACGCTAACCTCGGCACCGCACGAGAACTTCCTGAGCTGTCACATCAAGGCACAGGGACCCTGGACATGGAAGCTGCGTAACTATTTCGATCCATGCAATTATAATCCAGAGGATCAACCTAAGATACGCATCGAGGGTCCGTTCGGTGGCGGCAATCAGGACTGGTATAAATTTGAGGTGGCTGTCATGGTGGGCGGTGGCATCGGTGTTACGCCCTACGCATCCATACTGAACGATCTGGTCTTTGGCACCAGCACCAATCGCTACTCGGGCGTGGCCTGCAAAAAGGTATACTTCCTATGGATTTGCCCATCGCACAAGCACTTCGAGTGGTTCATCGATGTGCTGCGCGATGTGGAGAAGAAGGATGTGACCAATGTGCTGGAGATACACATCTTTATAACGCAGTTCTTTCACAAATTCGATCTGCGCACCACCATGCTGGTGGGTCTTAAAACCAATGATCTCTTTGTATTTTGTTTATAATTTTCCTTTCTCTCGTTTGCAGTACATATGTGAGAATCACTTTCAGCGTCTCTCGAAGACCTCCATATTCACGGGTCTCAAGGCTGTCAATCATTTTGGTCGCCCAGACATGTCAAGTTTTCTCAAGTTCGTGCAAAAGAAGCACTCCTATGTAAGCAGCCATGCAAAGCATCTGTATAAGATCCGCATTATAACACTTGAATATCAATTTACAGGTATCCAAAATAGGCGTCTTCTCGTGCGGTCCCAGACCGCTCACAAAAAGCGTCATGTCCGCCTGTGATGAAGTGAATAAAACACGCAAATTGCCTTATTTTATACATCATTTCGAGAATTTTGGTTAGGTCTGCGTACGCCTAACTCTACTCAACTCTACAATTATCTGCCAACTACTATACAATCACAACACAGCACACAAACAAAACGGATTAATTTACGAATATTATGAATAGTATTTAGTTTCATTCATTCAGCATTTAAGCGAATTTAGTAGCACCCCCTTCCCTGTCCCTTCCTCGTGTACTGTTAATTCACTTAACAATCTCTCACGTATGTAACTTCATAAATTAGTCATGTTCTACAATTTAGTGCATTATGCAAATTTCCATTGATGTTTAGCTACAATCACAACACAACAACAAAAACAATACAGCGGCCCTTACTCTATATACTTATACTTATGTATGTATGTGTATGTGTATATGTATATGTGTATTTATTGAAAATATGATTTGTTATCAGTTTTTGTAAACCGTTCGCATTATTTATTAAAATTTACATTTTAATTGAAACAATGAACTAATTATTGTTATGCCTCAACACAGATATTTATTTGTTTATGTATAAGCTCACCTGGTTTTATAATTTGAACTGATTGAACCGGAATTGTATATGGATGAAATTCTAATATTTTATAAGCAATTTTATCACTTAAACTAAAACAAAGTTTTATCTAACTATGATTGGGAGCCGCACAAGTAAGTAAATGTTATATATAGTATGGTTTGTTCTTTCCTTATTAACGTTTGTTTTGATTTAAGAGGCACTCCCGTATACCCTAAACGGATGACTTCTCAGCAAGATTTCGCTACGCGTTTGTAAGGACTTGTTCTATCCAGGTATGTTAGCTTACTTATATAAAATATTTTCAGTGTATATATTCGTATACAGCTAAGTTTATCAATAAATAGCTTAGCTATTTATATTTGTCCTTCGCATTATCGGTCCTCTTGTTTCCAATTTCTTTATACCTATCTATCCAACGGTCGAAATTTGCGTTATAATATAAGTAAATTTTTGACGTCCTCCAAATATAAAGTTGTTATTTTAAATTCTTATCTTATCTTCCCTTCAGTAAGAACTAAATATTGCGGTTTAAACTGTTTAAAATCTGCAAGTGTATTTAATCTTCGAATAAATTTGTTCATTAAAGCGACAAGCAGTGCAAGGGCACACTCAAGCAGTTCAGCAAGTAGTGCAATCAAAGGTCTGACTAATATTTGAGGTCGCACTGTAGGAGAATAAAGCGCATGCGCCAGCTTCAGCTGTTTTATGTTTTCCGTCTTACGCCAAAAACAGAAAAGGATGCGCTGTGTAAAAACATATCCTTAACTGAATTTAATTAAGAAACAACAATCTTTTGAATGGAGTTGGACGTGCTTCGCCTAGCGGTGGACTATTACCACAATCTGCTGAACGCGGAGCTGCACATTAATGAATGGGTGCAGGATCGGTAAGTCAAAGTCCTTAACTTGTTAAACATTAATCTAATGGCAATTTCTCGCAGCCTTAGCCTTGCGGAGCCATTGTTTCGCTTCGTCAGCGTTTATCTGGAGCCGGGCAATATGTTTAATGTGCTTATACCGTTGTTGGGCATCTGCGGTCAGGATTTGCTTACACATCTGGTCTATGCACTGAGTCTGGCCAGTGCGGTAAGCTCCTTCGAGAAATGGTAAGTATGCCAGCTTCAATTAGTTGCCAGCATACATCTTAATAGCTCTACACCTACAGGATATATCCGGAATGGCGACCCCTCTGGCGGCTACGCGAACTCTACGCCGATGTGCATGGCATTAGGCCGCGTGTCGCCTTGCAAAGTCATGATCTGAGCTGTGAGACAAGCGGCGGGATGCCCTGCGCTCACACCATGACCTGGACGGCTTTGCTTATGGTTGTGAGTGTTCATTTGCCGCTTAAGGGCCGATCCGCCAGCTGGCGACCACTCGTGCATCTCTTGATTGGATGCTGCACGCTCTGCATGTGGCTGAGTCGCCTCTATCTGGCCACGGAGTATCTGCATCAGTGCCTGTTGTCCACTTATATTGCGGTCAGTCTTCTGGCTAGTTGTCAACGGCATCTGGACCACCTGTATGCCCAGCGACGTGGATGGGCTGTGCTGCTGGTGCTTCTGTTTGGCTGCATGGCCGTCTCAGTTTATTTTATCAAGCTGCAACTGGGAATCGATCCACACTGGTCAGTGCGGCAGGTGAGTCGCTTAAATTATTTCAGCTTAACCACGTTGTATTAATCGCATTCCTTTAGTCTTTTAAGTGGTGCCCGGAACCTACCTATATGCGACATGAGAGCAGTCCCATCTTTCTGCTGGCTCGAGATCTGGGCAATCTAATGGGCGTGGCACTCTCATTACCCTTGGTGCAGCTGTATGTCTATTACCTCTAAGTGTTTGTAGCATATTCTACTAAAATTGCATTTACTTTCGCACGCAGAAAAACGGACGAGTCCAAATATTCGCATCGGTTTCTGGGGATCGCCATGCTGGAGCTCCTGAACTATATCCTGCGCCTTTGTACACCCAAGCAGCATGGACGCTTTCTTTTTCTAGCCTATGAATTTACACGAAATGCTTTGCACTCATTAATACTTCTAAAGGCCTTGCCCAAACTCCTGAATAAAAATAGTTAAGCAGATGTAAATAAAGCTATATTGGTAGCAACTGTAGGTAGGATAGACATTGTACTAAATTCCATAGTAGAAATATAGTAGAATTGTACTTGCTAAACAATGATGTTGATTTCTAATTTTGTAAATTGAGTATTTGTAAAAAACTAAAATGTACAACAAAATTCCAATTCTAGATGACCCACATATCCTTTGTTATTCCATACCATGGATATAGTCCTAGAGGACCGAATTCTTCCAAAATGCGCGAGAACGTGGTCTAAAATAATGTATGCACTTTCTTTCAGCCAACGCCAGCAACAATTTCGCATCCTCGATGGTTCCTAGTTGACTTCCATATCCTTGGTAATACCGTCCCATCGATATAGTCCCCTGGCACCTAAAGGACTTGCTCCCTACCAAATTTTCAAAGCAATGGTACACCACATGTATGCGTTTCCTTTCAGTAGCTATTGTCCTTTATAAATGGCCGATTTGTGGTTAATATGTTACAAAGGACACTAATCACAAAATTGGTAATTAATAAGATATTTCAAGTACTTCCCTAATGTCCTTTGGTCAGCAAAAAGTCCTTGTCCTACCAATTCAGAGTTCACAAAGAAAAGGACGAAAGTCCTTCAAACAACCCAAATATAGGAATATCCTGTTTGGAAGTAAAGAAGACCAGGGCTTCGCTGTGTTCCTAGATATCCTGTCAAATCCAGTATCATATAAACCGTATCAACTACGAGTACAAACTGGCCAAAGGACATCAAAATCGTCCTTGTAGTTTCCAAGATATGGCTATTTTTCTAAAAAGGACATTCTTTTTACACTCATATCTCAGCCAAATCCTTAAGGATATCAAAAGGATATACCTTTTTGACATCGTGCGGAGCAGGACTATCGACTGGCATTCAAGGATTTTCAGGATTCCACAAAAAAAATTGCCTCAATTTCGGCAAGGGGGTTAGCCAGAAAATCGAAAAGTTCCATACTAACTTTGCCATTTGAAGGACGATCGGGATGTCCTTTGGACAGTAAATAGTCCTTGTCCTACCATTTATGAATATGCAACCCGAAGGACGATAGTCCTTCAAACAGCTGAGAAAACAGGACTTTTTTTAATAAAATTTTTAAGCATAAAATAGGCTATAGCACGGCTGTATCCTTACGTATCCTGACGAGTCCTGTGCCAAATAAATTGTATTGACCACGCCTACCATCTGGCCAAAGGGCATCGAGATCGTCCTTGTAGTTTCGGAGATATTAAGGATTTTGTGTATTATGCCCATTTCCTTAGGCTCCGCGACTGAAAAAATGATCAAGTCCTGGATTCTTAGATGACCCCCCAATATTTTAATGCAGATCGATGCGGCTGGTCCTCATGATCCCAACGCACCATGTCCTTTGAAAATCGGCAAGGATATGGCCGAGTTATACGCATTTAAAAATCAGCATTTCATTTGGTCGGCCAAAAATATCGTTGCATACCCTTAAGGGGCGTTATGAGCATTAAACTGTTAGCAGTAACAGTCGATTGTTAAGAATTTTGCAAGTCAGCAGCAGCCTAACATTTTTGCCCCTTACAGGTATGCAATAAAAAAATTTCCCGAAAATTTTCGTCTGCTTGCTGGGCACTTCTGTTCGCCTGGTATTTCAGCAGAATTTAAGAAATCTCGACAGCCGGCGACCGCCAAGCGACGACCCTTTCGGGTATGCAACGATATTTTTGGCCGACCAAATGAAATGCTGATTTTTAAATGCGTATAACTCGGCCATATCCTTGCCGATTTTCAAAGGACATGGTGCGTTGGGATCATGAGGACCAGCCGCATCGATCTGCATTAAAATATTGGGGGGTCATCTAAGAATCCAGGACTTGATCATTTTTTCAGTCGCGGAGCCTAAGGAAATGGGCATAATACACAAAATCCTTAATATCTCCGAAACTACAAGGACGATCTCGATGCCCTTTGGCCAGATGGTAGGCGTGGTCAATACAATTTATTTGGCACAGGACTCGTCAGGATACGTAAGGATACAGCCGTGCTATAGCCTATTTTATGCTTAAAAATTTTATTAAAAAAGTCCTGTTTTCTCAGCTGTTTGAAGGACTATCGTCCTTCGGGTTGCATATTCATAAATGGTAGGACAAGGACTATTTACTGTCCAAAGGACATCCCGATCGTCCTTCAAATGGCAAAGTTAGTATGGAACTTTTCGATTTTCTGACTAACCCCCTTGCCGAAATTGAGGCAATTTTTTTTGTGGAATCCTGAAAATCCTTGAATGCCAGTCGATAGTCCTGCTCCGCACGATGTCAAAAAGGTATATCCTTTTGATATCCTTAAGGATTTGGCTGAGATATGGGTGTAAAAAGAATGTCCTTTTTAGAAAAATAGCCATATCTTGGAAACTACAAGGACGATTTTGATGTCCTTTGGCCAGTTTGTACTCGTAGTTGATACGGTTTATATGATACTGGATTTGACAGGATATCTAGGAACACAGCGAAGCCCTGGTCTTCTTTACTTCCAAACAGGATATTCCTATATTTGGGTTGTTTGAAGGACTTTCGTCCTTTTCTTTGTGAACTCTGAATTGGTAGGACAAGGACTTCTTGCTGACCAAAGGACATTTGGATAGTCCTTGAAGGGGCCAAGCTATATACAGTTTTGTGATTTATGTCCTTTCTAGAGAAATAGCCATAGTTCGGGCATTTACAGACGGATTTTCAAAGGACTTGGTACGTTTGAATCATAATTACAAAATGCATCGAGGAGCATTTAAAAATCTAGGGTTCAGACGAAATTCTGCTGAATAAAAATAGCCATAACTAGGTCATATCCTTGCAGCAATTCAAAAGACTATGTTGTCTAGGGTGGTAAGGATCAATGCATCGATCTGATGCATACGGCTTGGCACAGGACTCGTCATGATCTGAAAGGATATGGCCAAGTTCATGTGCTTCACGAACTTGCAAGATTTTCAAACATCATTTTTATTTTGTTATTTCACTTCGTTTCAGTTTCTTACAATATTTAAGCAGATGCTTTCGTATTACATTTTCCAATGTATTTTCGCCGTTGCTTAAATTAATTTATTTGTTTGTATTTAAATTTTTTATATAATGCTATGTTATGTGTGTGTAAATTGGTAAGTGTGTTTGTGTGTGTGTGTGTACGTGTGTGTGTGTGTACGTGTGTGTGTGTGTGTGTGTGTGTGCATGTGTATATGTACGTTTAACATTGGTTATGGTATGCATTTTAAATTGTTGTATATGTAATTTATTTATAACCTTTTCTTAACAATTTAAATATTCGATTTAATATGGTTTTGCTTTTAACATTTGTTGGATTCTCAATGTATTTCTTAGGTATTTTATATTAAACTATAGTTAGCAGCTAACGGATTTACGTTTTATCTTTGCATTTAGTTAATACATATATATAAAACAAGTTGGTTTAATACAAAATATAAACTAATTACAATTAGGTATTTTATATTTATATAAATATATATATATATATTCATTAATAACGTTTATGCGTGCAAATAAAATGTTTATTTACAATAACTGGACTTTTGAATTTCAGATAGGCCATAAGACATAGCAGTTGTTGTTTTTGTTTTGTTTATAAATGCGCCAAAGGAAATGGTGTTTGCAAAAGTTTACCATACATTAATTAACATAGTTTTTATAATCAGAATTGATCTCAAAACAAAATCAGCTGTACCTTAACTTCTAGTATTTGCTAGAATATTTACATGATGTATCTAGTTTGTATATGTATTTGTATAATATGTTTGTCCACATTAGGTAACAGTGCAGTTTGTTGTTTTAGTTTTTCCAATATTTTGCTGGGTTAGTTTTGTGTTATGTCTACAGTTAATGTAGGCATTTGCTTAAACTGAAATGTTTGACTAATTCCTTTCTTTAAGTGGAAAGAAATGTCATTTTTTATGAAATGGGTTTTCTTTTTAGCTCACTAACATTATGGATACTCGTTTTTTTTATCTTTTAAAGTGTACTGCGATTTATGCTTAGTTTTCCACGGTTCCTAGTAGCGCCGCCCTATATGGCCCTTAACCTTTTTTAAGTTGGCCTAATGCACACCTTGAAGCATAGTCAAAAATGGTAGCCAACGTTTTAGCGGTTGGATCCGAATGATTTCTGTATTACTTGCAATATTTATCAAATACTTTTAGTATTTAATTTTGGAATTGCTTAAAGCAAAGCCGCCTTTGGGACAAACTACTCGCTGCCAAATCAGACGCTAATGAATTTTATATTTATATATCCCACATATAAGCATATTATATAATATATATATAATAAATCTTGGCAATTTATTTGCCAGCATGGATCGCTTTTGGGCATATCTAAACATAATTTGCGCTTAGTTTTCGAATAGTTGTAAATATTAGCTCCTGTTCTGCACACATTTAAATACATATCTGCATCTGTATCTGCATCTTTATCTTTATCTTTATCTTTACCTGTTGCTTTTTTATGTAGATAAAAATTGAAACGATATTTGTTTTATCCTCAAATTGATCTGCATTACTTCCATTACCATTTTCCCAATTATATTTAACTATGCCTTATATCAAATCAACTAAATTGCACTCGTCCTTGTTAGTCATATTCGAATTCAAAATTTCAGTTATTTCAGTTATGGGTTCAAGTTTCTATACCATGCTATATAGGATTACCCTCACTGTACTTATAGTAATTGCTTGCTGATTTCCTCCACTTTTATTTCTATTTGGTAGTCGCAGCACATCTATTGAAGTTCCTCCAGATTGGGCTGACAGGAACCGCAGCATTTCTCCTTATAGCGATGCAGTCGACACAGACCCATGGCCCTGGCGTTGCGGCAATAGCGGGAGGCATCGCGACAACCAGTCGATGTGATCACTGCGAATATAGATTGGGATTTATATTCATAATGTTGATGAATTAATGAAGAAATAAAAATGGATATTAATTTAGATCGAAATATAACGACTCAGATATAGATAGAGATATAAATATATAATTCAATTTAAACTTGGGATTT